ATAATTTTTACTTTTAGAACAATTGAAATCTGAATGCTTGACTTCATACATTCAAATCCAATTTTTATTTTATTTTTTAGCTAAATCGAACTATTATTAATGTTTACAGAAGTTAAAAACTTAACGATTAGAATTAAGATAAAAATAAACCCAAGATATAGATTTTATTTTGAATTGAGTATCCATCCATTTTTATCTTCCATAATCATTCAAATTATTGATATTAACATAGGGCCTTCACTTTATTTTTCTTTTGATGAAAAACTTGTGCTGATTTAATTTAATTATTGTATCTCAAAGAATCCTTACCGAATGAATCAAAGGCGACAACATTATCCTCTTATATCTACACAACTATTAAATTGAAAAAAGAAAGTAAAAACATTCTTCCTCAAGACATATATGATTTATACTAAAGATTTGATAATTAGTCTAATATATGATTAAATTTCTGTAAATTTTTTTCTTTTAATAACTACATTTTTTTTACCATTTTGATGTTTGATTATGAATTAAACTAAATTTCCACATAAATCTTTAACCCAGATTTTCAGCCAAAACTTTTCTCAGAATAATTTAGCTAGAAAATTATGTAAAATTTCTTCAAAATAGTATTTACAATTTCACTTTTTTGGAATAACTTCAAAAGCCTCAAATATAATATAGATATCTTGAATAGCTTTTTCCTTATTAAAGACTGTTTCTTCATTTACTTAATAGACAAAGCTTTTCAAAAACCTTTTGGTGAAAAATTTATGGTACTATTAATTCTGCCTTTTATATTATTGTTTTAATTATCTGTCACTTAGTAGGATTCATGAATTAGTTATTTAAACAATAATAATTATTACAGATTCCGACTTCTAGGCTCCATGATGCTGAGATTCTCTAAAAGTCCTAACACATCCATTATTATTGAGTACAGTTTCTTTATTGGTTTAATAATGTTATTATTCAAATTCTAAAATGTGATCATTTTAATGCAATTCAGATCTTCAGATGAATGAATTGTAATTATTTTCTATATTTACAGAAATAATTATTACAAAGACAACTACTATTATTATCAAATAAATAATTGTAGTCTCTAAAATTTGCACAAAGTCCATGATCATAATACTTAAGTTTTGCATATTCCAATGGAAATAAAGTTTAGTTTTTTATTTATGCTAAATTGAAAAGGTTGATAATCCTATCCACATAAAACATCCAACTTTAACAAGCATAAATTCTTTTGAGATGTATTACAATTTAATAAATTATACTTTTTTATTTAATGTTAAAGCTCTTTTTCCTTTTCTTACATTTTTATGTAAAACTACCAATAGATATTGAAGCTCAGCTATGGAAAATACAGTTATTGCATTTAAGCATTCAATTCAATTTAAATGACTTGCAGGTTGATTGCAGCAGAGTCTCTTAAAGATAAAAGAGAATTATTTTTAGATATAATCTCAATCTTCTATTTATAACCTCAGGTTTCAATTTTTATCATTTAATTATTTTTTTGCTTAAAATTTTTTGATTCTCTATAAAATTGGATGTTTCATTAAATTTTTGTTAATATTTATTTCTGTATTCGTTTGAAGACTCTTTGATTTTTTTTAGTCTATTAGTTTTTTACTAGGGATATTTGATTTAATAAATATCATTAGTTACTTTAAGCTTAATTTTTTTTTAAATAATTACTAATTTTTTTAATTTTATATTTATCATATAATCCTAATAAAATATTAAATGCCCTTATATTCTTACTTTATTTTGTGTATCCTTTTCAATTTTAAAACTTTTTTTTTAGATATTTTCCAATCATTTATTATTAAACATTTCAGCTTTTTCTATTAACCTATATATAAATAGTTTTTGAAAAAAATTTAATTATAACATAGATTATGAGATTCTTTTGTTTAAATTACTTATGTAAAATTGAATAAGTAGATTTACTTTTTATCAACATTCTCTCAAAACTCTTTTTGTTTTCAACTTATTTCTATACTATTTTTATGCCATTTGCATAATTTAATCCGATATGGGATTGATATATAACTATTTTATTTTCCAAATATATATTTTCCTTCATATCTTATACCCTCCTATCTATGATTTATGTAGATACAATTTATTATAAGTTAAATATATATTTAATGTTTGAAGGTTATATTGAAAGAATTGTTAATTATCTTTTGACAATTTATCGATGAAGTTGAAAAGAACTAAATCGTAATTCTTTGAGCGCAATTTTATTATAAAAAGTATTACAAAAATAAATCAATGATTCAGAGCTGTGGTTAATAAAAGAGATTTATAATTATAAGTTAAAAGCAGTTAAATGGAGAAATTCTACTTATAAGCAATAAGCTGATTGAGGTTAAAGCTTTTATAGTCTAAATCCAAATAATGATCAATTATTGTTTTAATCAAAAAATTGATAGAGTTGGATTAATCCCAATATGTATTTGTTTTTTTCTTAATTGATATTTTGAACTCAAAATAAGTTCAAAATATATATTTCAAAATATATCATCATCAGATACATCCAATATTAATTAACAAAATATAAATTGAGTTCAAAATCTAAAAAATCCAATAACAATATCTAAAATGAAATTAATATTTAAAACAAACACTACTAATTGATTGAAAAATGAGCAACATAATTAATAAGTCCAAAATTGAATTATATAAAATTTGTCTATATATCCTCTAATTGTATTTACCTTCTATATAAACATTTTCTTTATCATTGATCTCTTTTAGTTAATTCATTTATTTTTATACTTCATTTAATTTAAATGTAATGTATAAATAAATTATATAACGAAAATGAATGATTTACATGTTGTATAATTTGCCAAAAGTAAATAATATCAAAATTACCATTTATTTTTAAGCTAAAAAATTTTATTTCCCTTGAGATTTTAATTTATTTAAAAGAAGCAGTTAAGACTGTTTTAAATGTGGAATAGATAAGCCTCTGTAATAAACATTTAAGAATTAAGTCTTAAAAATATATTTAATATCCTGTAATATCTTTGATTTATAATAATTATAAATGTACATGATAAGTATCGTCAATCGTATAGGA